GTTGAGAGCTCTGAAAATGTCTATCAGATCAAGTCACCTAACAATAGTTTAGTTCTGCAGCTTCCTTGTTCAGTTTCTTTCCCTGTGATCTATCTTTCTTGGAAAATGGTGTATTAAAGTCACCTACTATGATTGTTGAGCCTGTGATTTCTTTTTTCATCTTTTGGAACGTTTGGTTGCTGAATTTTGCAGATCTCTTGTTGGGTTCACATATATTTATTATGCTCACTGCTTCTTGGTCTTCTGTTCGCTTGAGCAATTTATAGTGCCCCTCCTTATTTCTTGTTAGGGCATGCACCTTGATAACAATTTTGTGAGAGATTAGGATTGCAAACCCCCCTTTTTTTAAATTTCCATTTGCTTGGTATATTTTTCTCCAGCCTTTCATTCTTAACCTATTTTTGTCTGCAAGCTTGAGATATGTCTCTAGTAGGCAGAAGAACGATGGGTTGTGTTTTCTAAGCTAGCCTGCTAGTCTCTGTCTTTTAATGGACGAGTTCAGTCCATTGATTTCAGAGTTATTACATCCATCTGTGGACTCTGTGATGTCATGTCGTAACTTTTCTGCTGGGTGTTTCTCTAGCTCCCTTCTTATCATTGCCTTGTGTGTTTTGGTGTTTGTTGGGGGGGGTCATTCTTGCCTTCCTTTCACCGTTGAGCCATTGCTATCTTCGGGCTGTTTTCAATGTATTGACCTCTGAGTGCAGTTGCTCTATGTGGTGGTCTCTTATTTGTGCTCTGTGAGTGTTGTTATTCTGCCCATAATAGGTCTTTAAGAATTTTTTGTAGAACTGGGTTTATTTTAACATATTCTTTGAGTTTTTCCTTGCCCGGGAAGACGTTTACTTCTCCATATATCTTGATAGATAATTTGGCTGCATAGGGTATTGTTTGGTTTGCATTATTTTCTTTAAACTTTCAGAATATGTTCCTCCACTCACTCTTCTTCATGGTGTCTGATGATAGGTCTGAGCATATTCTTATTTGGGTACCTTTATAAGTAACTCCCCCACCCCACCCTCGCTGCTCTTCTGATTTTCTCCTTTTTGTCAAAGTTGGATAGTTAAATTATTATATGCCTTGGCAAATTATTCTTGGGATTCAGTCTAGCTGGTGTCCTTTCAGCTTCCTAAATGGTTGCCTGAATATCATTCGTTAAGCCAAGGAAGTTTTCTTGGATTACTGTTATTCTCCTTCAACTTTCAAAAAATGTTGCTCCATTCTCCCCTCTTCACCATGGCTTCTGCTGATAAGTCTGAGCATAATCTTATCTGATTACCCTTATAAGTGACTGCGTTTTTTTCTCCAGCTGCTCCTTTGATTTTCCCCTTTTCCTCAAAGTTGGATCATTTGACTAATATATGCCTGGGTGTGTTCTTCTTGGAGTTCCATCTAATTGGTGTCCTCTCTGCCTCCTGAATGGTTATCTGGTTCTCCTTCATTAAGGAGAACTTAGAACATAAAACTTCCCCAGAAGTTTTCTTCCAGGAATTCCCTTGCTGTATTGGCTGTTGATTACTTCATTGTGTCTTGCTCTGGTATCCCAATTATTCAAATATTGTTCCTCTCCATTGTGTAATGAGTTAAGTGTTGGGTTGCTAATCAGAGGGTCAGCAATTCTAATCCACCTGCCACTCTGAAAGAAAAAGATGAAGCTTCTGTAAAGAGTTAGTCTTGGAAATCCACAGGGGCAGTTCTGCCCTATCCAAAAGGTTTGCTATGAGTCGGAATCAACTCAATGGCAGTGAGTTTGAGTTTGAGATATGTTACATTAACAAACAAGCACAC